AATGCTTTGCCTGAATGTACATGTGTACCTGTGTCATGTAATGTCCATGGAGGCCAGAAGAGGGTGTTGGATCTCATAGAATTGGAGTTACAGATGGCTGTTAGCCGCCATGTGGATGCTGGGAAACAAACCAGGCTCCTCTGCAAGAGCAGACGGTGTTTTTAACCACTGAGCCACCTCTCCAGCCCCAAGGTAATTTTTATTATGACAACCCCCTATTTACAGGATCTTTCAAAACATATAAAGAAGTAAAACTAAGATCCTATTGTTCACATCTTTTTAACATTTGATAGTTTTCTATCCATTCTTCAGTGCTTTTTGTTGATTATAAATTTGGCATTACACATTTTTCAAGGTTGGAGCGCAAGGCAGAACTTAGAACTCTGTCTCATACCCAGAAGCCAGCAACTCCGTAGTTTAAATCACAGGGTTCGCTTGTTTGTTTGTCTGTTTTCCATTCTGGGGACTGAGCCCAGGGTGATTAGAAAAATATTTTTACATTTACTTATTTCTTTATTTATAGAGAAGGTATATGTGTGTAAGCACCTGTGTGGAGGTCAGAGGACAACTTGTGGGAATCAGTTCTTCTACCTTGTGGCTTCCAGGGATGGAACTCAGGCTTGAGAGCAGCTTCCTTCACCTGCTGAGCCGTTTCTCCAGCCCAAAGCCCAGATTCCTGCCCGTGCTAGGCAAACACTCCACGATTGAGCTACATCCCCAGTTAATCATATGTTTTTGAGTAAATATATTATAAGCATATCCTCCATGTCATTACATAATCAAAATAAGATTATTTAAAATTTAACATAACCCATCATGTGTTTGAACGATTATCGCTTTCCATACTAATAGTTATGATACCTGTTTCCCTTTTTTCCTCCCTTCTTGAATTCAGATTTACTGATATGTTAGACATTACTTAATTTCTTTGGGCCACAGTTCACAGAATTGTCAAAAAAGGCTAGTAATTAGCTCTAATTTTTTTATCTTTTTGAAACAGGCTCTCCCTGTAGTCCCGGCTGGCCTAGAACTCGCTATGTAGACCAGGGTGGCCTTGAACTCACAGAGATCTGCCTGCCTCTGCCTCCCGAATGCTGGGATTAAAGGCGTACGCCACCACGCCTGATGTTATTTTTACTTTTTAAAGGGTTAAGGATTAAAGGAGTTAATACAGGGCCTGGGGTTACAGCTCAGTGATAGAGTGCTTGCTTAACATACACAAGGTCCTGGGTTCAGTCCCCAGTGCCTCAAAAAAAAAAAAAAACAGAATAAATACATTGAAGGCTGTTATTACAACACTTAACTTTCTGTGTTAGCACTGTTTTAGCTGTTGTCATTTTTATTGAACATATAATCTTTTAAATAGACCATATATTCATACAACTAATGAGCAGCTTTCATTATAAAAATGAAAAAGTACAGAAATGTTAAATTTATGATTCATATGTATCATATACACAATATGTACACCAATTGCTAATCTGGCTAAGACAACAGAGTTATTAGAAACTACCTTCATTTTTTTTTCCAGTTTTGGGGACCAAACCCAGGACCTCAAGCTTCCTAGGCAAGTACTCTAAAGTACTTAGTTAAATCCCTTATTTGAGCTTTTGTACACTTCATACAACAGTTCTTAACCAAACCTCTCCCACCCATGGCTCAGGGACCATTGTGGAAGACAGGGTGGAAAGATTTCCAGAGCCAAAGTTGGTCCATGAACTTCAGAAAGCAGAGGCTTTCTGGCCACTGGACGCTTGCACATACGAACTTACGGTAATGATGGCGACCTCTCCAATTTTTATGAGTAATTTTATTATTATTGTGTGTGCTTGATGGGTGGGGCATGCACGCCACAGAGCACATGTGGAGGTCAGTGGACTACGTCATGGAGTCAGATCTCTCCTTCCACCTTCATGGGTTCTGGGTTCTGAGGATCCAACTCAAGTAGCCAGGTTTGTGTGGCAAACACCTCTACCCACTGAGCCATCTTGTCCACCCCAAGTAACTTTTTATTTTTAAAAGACTCATACACCTTTCACCTATGGTCCTACCTCTCTTGAGCTTCTTCTTTCCCTTTATCTCCTAGGTTCCTTGTATACCCTCCCCTCCCCCGCTCCCTTAAACTAACCCAATTTTTATTGGGTGCCAAGGATCCAAGTACAACCGACCATGACTAGTAATAATCAGATACATACAGATTAGAGACGCATGCACCAACATCTAAGTGTTATTAGCAAAAACAATGAGTCTTTCTGTAAGAAACAGTAGAAGGGGCAGAAAGATTGTAAGAGGCAGAGCTTATACTGAGTTCAATATTGTGTAACTGTATTCATTGAACAGCAAACCTAAAAATTTTATAGCCACTTTTGAAAGAGATGTATCTTTGCTCTGGAAATTGTTATTGAGTACATTAAAACTGTAATGAAATGCTTCTAATAAAAAAAAGACTAATATATACATCAAGCATATGTGCACGCTATTTTCTAGCTTGATTTTTAAGTTAATTTTCCATTTTCATTTTATTTTAGAAATCTGATTTGTTTTTTTCTACTTTGTGGATTTTGTTTCATTTTTGTGTTTTGGTTTGGTCTGGAGACAGGGTGACCCTACGCAGAGCAGTCTGGCCTGGAAGTCACATTCCCTTGCTTCAGCACCCCTAGACCATGTCCACCACACACTTACTTTTCCCATCTCTTCATGTTAACTACTAGGTTCCTCTGCTTCTTCTTTTCTACAGCTGTGTGATCTGTTCTGTTTATAGTTGTGCAACAATTTATCTGGTTATTACTTTATTAATTTTTCCAACAACAGTTTTACTATTACAAGCAATGCCGGAGTGAGCACCTTCACCTGTGTGCGTTCACGAGCATTTGTCCTCAGGAGACATTCCTAGAGGTAGAAATACTGGCTTAGTGAATATGTAAGTGGTTAAGAAATTGTTGTTGTTTCTTTCGGTTTATTTGAAACGGGGTCTCCCTGTAGCCCCAGCTGACCTAGAACTTGCTATGTAGGCCAGGCTGGCCTCAATCTCACAGAGATATGTCTGCCTCTGCCTCCTGAGTGCTAGGATTAAAGGTGTGCACCACCATGCTTAGTCCTTGTTAGAGATTTCTGTATTCATGTCAAATTTCCCTCCATAAGGTCACCCCAAGGTCACCCAATTTAAACTGTAGTGGTGTCCAGCCTGTTCTCCCACCTGAAGTGAGCACAGGTACACACCAGCCGAACTTTAATCTCTGCAAGTCTAGCAGTGTGGTCTGTGCATGGGGGGAATGGCTTCTCTGTCATTTTAGTCCTCTTTTTACTAGTGCTGAGGTTAAAGCTATTGTCACCGGCTCAGTCATCAGTCGTATTTCCTATAAAAGCTGCCTGATCAATTCTCTTTATTGGCATGTTTTTGTTTTGTTTTGTTTTTATTGATTTGTAAGTACTTTATAACATTAATAGAGCAACTCTCTGTCTAGCGTATCTACTGTCCTACCTCTTTAATGGATTTTCATCATCTTTTCTCTCCCATTTCCAGACTAATGATTCAAGTGATCTACTGATCTCTCTTCAACTATATTTACCCTTTGTTCTGTCACATCTATTAGCCTAATAAGTTCATCCATGAGTTATTCAATTTCAGATATCAGGGAGGTTGCAGTTAAAATTTTCCACTGGTTCTTCTAAAATATTTTCTATTTCTCTGCCAAGAGCTCCTGTTTTCACTTACTATAAACATATTTTCCTTTGTTTCATTGAGCCCACTTGCAGTACCTGCTGTAAAGTCCCTATCTAACAACTCCAACATGTGGATTATTTTAGGGTTCACTCTGCTGATTGTCTTTTCTCTTAAGGATAAGTTAATGTAATTTCTGGTCCTCTGTATGTTGAGTTACTTTGAACTATAATCCAGGAATTGGATATGGCTGCATTCTGTTACTGTATGCTAGCAAAAACTTTGGGTGGACCCAGGTTGCAAATTGCCTCACTGCAGTAGAAACAGCTCCCATCTCAGTTCAGTTCCTTCATTTTTGCAAGGTTACTTGATCTTCCCCATGCATGCATGGTTCGGGGATCACCTAGACATGTTAGTGGCTTATGGATAAATCTGGGGCTCTTTTTTCCTGATTCTTTTCGGAGCAGTCCCCTTCTCCACTGCGCCTGGTAGACCTGAGCTCTGTTCCGGGGCCTCAGACTTGAGCACCTGTCTGCATTTTCACTGCCCTGTACTTTTCTCTGATTTTTGCCTGTCCTTGGGGAAAAGTCTGTCTCCCCACTCATACTGGACACTCCCTCCAAAATCTTTCTGCATTGTTTACTCTGTGGTAGCTGTCTTTTCTGTTTTTTGTTTTTTGTTTTTTTTATCCCCAAGAGTCCATTGCTTGTTGCAAAAGGGTCCATCTGTTAAGGTTTCATCTTTCATACCAGAAACAAGCTTTTTGTTGTGTTTTTACAGCCATGTTCCTGTGGTTTCAGTGGCAGTGAAGAGGGGAGGACAGGGCAGAAGTAGAGAGGGATGGAATGAATATGACTTTAGCCACTTGTCTGTGCCTGGTAGAGGGGAGCATTGGTGAGGAGAATTTCGGGACTGCTCTATTCTGTTTTTCAATTCAGACCCCAACCAAGAGCTCACAGAGCTCTTAGCTCGTCCAATCACTCCAGCAACCCCATTTCTCAGTCCTTGCCACATACTGAAGTGTCCCCCTGCCAGCAGGACCCAGAAAGAACATCCTGCCATGTGCCTGTTGGGGAGGTGCCTGGTGCTCACCTGGACTTGTTCTGCTGCTCAGAAATGCAGCCGATCATGATATGCAAAGCTCTCTTTGGAGTTAGGCATACCTGAATCTACATCTTGTCTCTGCCCTTAACTACATAATGTCTCTGAGCCTCAGTTCACAGACCAAAGCAAGAAGAAATGCTGGCACAAGCTCAAATCATCCAGGGAGGATCAGGGAGCTGTTGGGTTAGAAGATGTTATGTTGCTACTTACCTGCTATGTGGCTTTCGGTCTGCAGGAATTTCCACGTCTGGAATGAAGGCTGGTTTGTGCGGACTGACCTGGGCTCCTCATACAACGGATGGCAGGTGCTGGATGCCACCCCCCAGGAGAGAAGCCAAGGTGACCCTGCCCAGCACTGCTTGAGCTTGGCTCCATTGTTCACAGGATAGTGGCATAAGGAAGTGACCCAAAACCTTCTCTAGGTTTTGCATGATGAGATGGGGATAACTTTTCATACTGATTTCTCCTCATTTTATATGGCTCAGGCTGCTATTCAAATGGGTGCCTCCCCTTCAGCTGTAGTTGCCACTCACTTCTGTCTCTCACTTCCTCCTCTCCAGTCAAGGATGAATTCCAGGTTCTCTGGGATTTTCTTCTGCCTCTAATCTCCAGAGAAGCCTGTCTTGTTTGTTACCTTCATTTTGAGTTATTTCTTTCAAACATTAAAAAAATACAAAATAGGGGCTGGAGAGATGGCTCAGTAGTTAAGAGCACTGGCTGCTCTTGCAAAGGAACCAGGTTTGATTCCCAGCACCCACATGGCAGTTAACAACCATCTTTAACTCCAGTTCTAGGGGAATCCAACACCCTCTCCTGAACTCCATGGGCAATGCACAACATGGGTGCACTTACACACATGCAGGCAATATACTCATATACATAAAAAAGTATAAAGTAACATGCATATTGTTAAAAATAATCCAGATAGTTGTAAAAGGACTTGCAATAAAAATTAAGTTTTACCATCACCCTAACATCCTTACCCAACCCCATAACCTCTAGCTCTTCTACCAGAAACAAGTGTGTTGCTAAATTTAGAATTAGGGGTGACCTTCTGGATAGTTTATAGCCAACCATTTTTTTTATAAACTTTTCATTGCAACTCATTGCTTGTTCTAAAATTAATAGTGCTGGGCATGATGGTACATGCCTTTAATCCCAGTACTCAGGTGGCAGAGGCAGGTAGAGCTCTGAGACTGAGGCAAGTCTGGTCTACACAGTGAATTCCAGGCCAACTGGGGCTACAGGTAAACCTCGCCTCAAAAAAAATCAAGTTAATGAGTTATGACTACATCAAGAAATGAAAATAAAATAGAATTGAAAGGAAAATAAAATGTCAGGACTAAAAAGACTAAATATTATTCTTCTAAGTATCGCATACACAGCAAACATCAAACGTTCTTCTTTCAGGGGTTATGATAAACCTGAGTCACTCCTCCGAGCACATAAAAGACTGTGCATATGCCTTGCTGTATTTGGTTTGTAAACATGGAATAATATTTTTCCTATTCTATTATACCTTGCTTTTCTTTCTGTTGGCCTGAAATGCTATCTATATAACTAAATCTGTCTTTATCTAACTAAATCACCTACCTGTGCTGAAAACTGGAGGAGAGGTGTGAAGGGTTAGGAACTCAGAGGGGCAAGGAATCCCATGAGCTAGACACTCAGGAAAGCATCTAGGACTAGGAGGTCAGCCACTTCCTGGGCTAGAATGATTTGGGTACTTAGAAAAGTGGCAGATCCCCCAAGCATCACACAGAAAGACCAAACTGACATCAGTAGGTCAGCTCAGAGGATATTCACAGGATACAGAGTTGAGCCAGTCTGTGGTAGAACTGGAGTTGACCAGGGTATAGAATAACAGTGATGGGTATCTGCTCTATGCCAGACATATGGGGCTCAGTCAGGATGGAAGGAGTTTGGCTAGAGTAAAAGCAGAGGATTGGCGTGGTGTAGAATGCTCTCGGAGAATGTGGCCCCGAATAGGCTGGTGTGGGTGATCTTAGCCATGACTTACATGCCTCTAACCCCTGCATCTTGATCACCAGGTGTGTTCCAGTGTGGCCCTGCTTCAGTTAATGCAATCCGAGAGGGTGATGTAGACCGGAATTTTGACATGATCTTCATCTTCCCGGAGGTTAATGCTGATCGCATCACCTGGATCTATGACGCCAAGACTGGCAGCCAAAAACAGAACTCCTTGGACACTCACTCCATTGGCAAGTACATCAGCACCAAGGCCGTGGGCAGCAACTCTCGCATGGATGTCACAGACAAGTACAAGTACCCAGAAGGTAGGAGGGGTACAGATGGTGTGCTGTCACAGGGGGGTTCATTGGTGGGTGGACAGCTTTGAGGGCGGAGAGAAGAAAAGCCTTTACCCCACCCCCTACATCTGAGCTAGTTCTGCACAAACAATAGGATGTCTCCTGCCATTAAATGTTCAACTGCTGTTTTCAGTGGGGCCAAGGCATCAAGGACAGCTCCCATGCCTGGAGAAGTTAGCTTCAGAGCACAGGGAGTGTCATCCCAACCCACCTACAGCTCTATTCCTTTCTCAGTTGCACAACAAGGTAATGGCACCATGACTGAACATCACAAGGAGAGACATGGCCTCTATGGAAGGTCGTCAAGGGCTTTGGGAAAAATTCCTCCATCAGTCAGCCCTTCCCCTAGTTTCCAAGAGCATAGGTAGAAAATGGAATCTCAGTAAAGAAATGAACAAAGAAACCTGTAGATTTTGCTATGTAAACTCATAGCTCTCACCCCTAAGAAGCCCAAAGAGGTGTGATTTCATGGGACTGCTAACAGCCATGTCCCTGAAATCTCCAGCATCCATACCACTGCTGGCTCCCCAGGGTCACCTTGGAAGGCTGTGTGCTAGGAAGCTGACTTATCCCACTTAGATTTGTTACTAATAAGTTGCTTTGGGAACCAGCAGCATGGTGGTTCTCAGTGATGACAAAGGTTCTACATTTGAAGGTGTAGTTCAATTTTAGAAATAGCCCAAAATAATTTAGCAGTTGTTCTAGCAAGTAGTCACCCTTTAATGTGTCAGTAGTTTACTCTTTCTAAAATTCTTAGAAGTAATTGATTCAGTTGTTTCTCATAGCCAGTTTCTAGGAGAACGAGGGCCAAGAAAAATGCTTTTATAAATGTGCCTAAGGTACCCCTAAAAGAAGACCTAATTCTCTGAACAACTGCTGGCCCCTGGTGTTGACCAGAGGAAGACTGGCTCCAGGAGATGAGGGTCTGACCTCAGGACCAGGGCATACCCACTCTGGGTGCTGGCATTTGAACATTTTGCAGGCTGATTTCAGTCAACAAACCTATGCTGTGCTTGTGGGTCTAGAAAACAATCACAGTGAGGTTCTCTAAAACAGAAATACATTTGGGAATAATAGCACGTTGGAATGGGAACACAAATGCCATAGTAAACTCTTGGTATAGTCAAAGGAACTGAGGTAAAGAGGATGCTTTTAAATGCAGTTATGAGGATTCCAGCAGATATCTGAGACAATCATTTCTGTCCCCCATATTTAATAACTAGGGTGGTATCAGTTCAAGGTTGAGCAGACAATTCTTAGGCAGATGTCCTTGTGGTGCTTCTGTGTCAAGTTGCATTGGGGTCTCTGCAGAAGCTCATGGTTCTGGAAGAGTGTCAGTTATGCATAATAACCCTTTCTCTATAACCTCCAAGCTTCATTTATTTTTTGTTGTTGTTGTGGTTGACACAAGTGACTCCATTATGAGCCTGACAACTTTCAGAAGCCCCTCTTGAATGCCTACCCCAGGCAGAGCCCTGTAGATAAAACACTGCAGATGGTGTCATGAGAGAGGCAGATGCCAGACAGATATTTTCAACGTCATGGTACAAAACAAGTATCAGGAGCAAGGAAACAAGTACCAGGGCAGGAGGTGAAATTCAGTCCCACCACTTATAAATGTGCAACCTTTAGCACGCTTCTTAAGATCTCTGATCCTCTTGTCTCCTTGCCTATAAAACAAAAATAGTAACGTTTCTCTTGGGTTGGATTTAAATGCACAAATGCACACAAAGTGCTAAGAGTAGTGCTTGGCACATAGTAAAGACTTAATGACTATTGTGGTGATCCTTGTCCATCTGGATATCTTGTACCACTCATGGTGACTGTTTTTTCCAGGAGCTGCTTAACTGGCTATATGAGCCTGTGAAGTTTCCCTATTAATTTCACACTGATCCTGTTTCTCTGGGGTTCTAGCTGCTTTTGCAACCTAAGCAATGGAGAGGGGCTGGGTGGGAGGCTCCCTGCAGGAATCCTGGCAGTACCTCAGCTCACACATGACAACAGAACAGAACATCCGCCTGGTGTTGCCCAGATCTTACCTAATGGTACCAGTTGGTCTCAGAGGCCCCAGGCAGGAAAAGCTCATAAAATGGGTTGCTAAGCATTTATGCAATAGCAACACTGCAATGAGAAAACAGCAGCAGAAGGCATAGTCTTGAGTAAGCCTAGCAGGTGACCTATATAGACACTGAGGCTTGGGACTTCATTGTGCAAACACTGCTTGGCAGTCTCGGGCACCAAAGCTCAGCCCAGCACAGCCTTCAGCCCTGGGTGTGGACTTACAACTCAACCAGAGAATGGAAGGGCATCCAGAGGAACCCGGTCCTCCAGGAGCTCTCGACCTGGGTAATCTGACTGCCTTCTTGCAGCAGGGTACAGGGAGGATCCTTAGACCAGGCTCCAGATACCTGGGAACCAGCCCCTCCCTTTGTTGATCCAACTCCCAGGGTGGCCCAGACTTTTCTAACCTGATGAACTTAGATGTGTGGGCCTCTGAAGTTCCTACCAGGCAGTTCACATATTTCAGAAAGGACTCACTAACTTGTAGGGTGCTTCTGGTACCTTGAAATTTTCACAAGTTGGTTGGGGATATCTAGGTATTATCAGTATGCCAGCATAGTCTTAAATTTTTTTTTTTTTTTTTTTTTTTTTTTTTTTTTTTGTCTTCTTGAGAGGCCAGGGTCTTCGGCTGTATGGTACATCTGACTTCAGGTCAGGCAGGAAGTCCTATGTGAGCTGCTTAGCCGGTCTGGGCTTGGAGTTGGCTGCTCAGGTCTCAGTGTCCCACCAGACTTTAGGGAATCACCAGGGAAATCCATGGGCTGCTTCTGCCATCACACTCAGCAACACCTGCATCTTGTGTCCAAGTCAGGAAACCTGTGCTTTTATTTTAGTCCTTGCATTTTTGAGATGCTAGATCTCTTAGCAACTCAGAGTTATAACTTGGAACCTACCCAGCCATGGGAAGTTCTTGCTGACTGGCACATTGACACTCAACATGACTTTAGACATGAGGCAGGAGAACATGGGAGAGTGTTTTGACATTCTTTAAAGAAGTCAGTTCTAAATGACAGCCTTTTGTTGTTGTTATGAATTCATTCTCTTTTCAGCTCAGGTTTTGTCATTTGTTCTTAAATGATAAGATTGGTCTTCAAGTCTCACAAAAGACCTTTCATCCAAAGAAAGGGAAAAGAAGGGAGAGGAGGAAGAAGGGAGGGAGAGAAAGAAGGAGGAAGAAAAGAAGGAAATCTAACTTAAAACAATAAATGATCAAGCCGTACAGAAATTTTCTGCAAAAATGAATCCAGTTTTCCCTGTAACTTCCTGACAGTATAGACCTGATTGGAGAAAGGCCAGAGACCAGCTGAGCTAGAAGCCTCATGTTCAGAAAGGTTAATGGAGACCCGGGAAGGTCGAGTACTTGCTGAAAGCAGCTTGAGCAGACAGATGTAGTTATCAATGTCAGTTCCAGGTCACCTCTCCAGGCAAGCTACTGTCCTTTGTCTGAATTTCTGCCACATCCTTGAACTATTCCTGATTATTTTTTCCTCCAATGCACAGGTTCCAGAGAGGAAAGACAAGTATACCAAAAGGCTTTGAGCAAACTTAAGCCTAACGCATCTTTTGGTGCAACATCTGCAAGAGATTTGGCCGGGGAGGAAAGGGCACCCAGCATTTCTGGGAGGTTCAAAGTCACTGGTATACTGACAGTCGGCAAAGAAGTCAGTCTGGCATTGCTGCTCAAAAACCTGACTAGTGACAGGAAGACAGTAACAGTGAACATGACAGCCTGGACCATCGTCTACAATGGCACGCTTGTCCATGAAGTGTGGAAAGACTCTGCTACAATATCCTTGGACCCTGAAGAAGGTAACTCATCCTGTAGTTGGTGGGGCTCAGGAATTCAAGGTAGTTGATCATCAGCTCAAAATAAAGGTTTCTTAGCGGGCTTTAGGTGAATCAGTTGACTATGAACAGAGCAGTGAATCGCCTCCATGGTTAAGCCTTGAGTTTTAATGGTCTGTAAGTTGCTGTGCTTATCATCAAGCCAGACATGGTGGTGCCAGCCAAACTCTTCTTATGTTCTAGAAGAGGAAGAAGAGAGGCTTTGGCAGTTCATAGCCACAGCATAACAGCCTGCCCAGGTTTGTACAACCCTGCACAATTTTCAGATAAATGTACTATCTCATCTGACTTTAAAAAAGAGGTAGATTTCCTCATCCATGTTACAGAGGCAGAAGAATTAAGGCTTGGAGAGACTTCTGACTTTCTTTAGAGATCATCATAGTGATTAAGTGGCAATACTAGTCTTGGTTCTTGGTTCCTGGTGTTGAACCCAATGTCACCTCCTGTTTCTGGGTTTTGATGTTGCCACTGTACTCTCACCCCACACCCAACTCCCCAAATCCCTTTGTAAGTTTGGCCCTATATGGGATGCAATAGATCATAGGGTCTTAAAGCCTTGGCCCATGTTTCCCACAGCTGCCAAGGTCCGAGTGCAATTTCTGGCTCCTGACGACAGGGACAGGTTTTCTTGGAGGTAGAAGCATCTGGGAGGATCGGGAACTTGTTGCCCAGGGGTAGCACGAATGGAAGGGAACAAGGTGGAGAAGAGGAAGATTGGTACTGTGGGATTAGAAAGCAGGTGTGCCCACATTGGCAAAATCCTTGAGCTGTTATGAAAAGTTCAGGCTTACAAAGCAGATTAACAAGGGTGGGGTGGCTATTTGCTTCACATAAAGAATTAATGAAAACTGATTAATTATATAGCCCATCTTGAAAGAATTACGGCTGCAGAGAAATGAAACTGTGCTACATCTGTTGAAAGGCAGCATCCCTGAGCAGTCTGTCTTCTCACACAAATTTTAGCAGAAATTTCAATATCAGGAGAAACGGTTGCTATTATTTACCTTTGACATTCAAAAAAAAGTCTTTTTTTTGGAGGGGTTTGGGGATGGAACCCAGAGTCTCATGCATACTAGGCAAGAACTCTACCAGTGATACATCCCCAGCCCACAAAGAGCTATTTCTGTAGGCCAAAAATAATCCATATGAAGAAAAAAATTAAGCCACTATAAAAGGCAGCAGAGTGGAGAAGAAAGTTCAGGGAGTCCAGTGGGAAGTTGTCTTAGAATCCCAATGCTTATGTACTTTTGGAATAACCCTGAGGAAATCTCTTTGCTTCTCTGAGCCTCGGGGTTAGTTAGACACTGAGAAGCTTGAACCAACTATGTAAGGGGCTGTCTTCTCCATCTTAGGGACAGCTGGGGCAAATCCCTGCAGTAAAAAGCAGAGGCAGCATCCTCTCCTCCTTACCCCCAGGCCGGTGAACACAACTGCATGAAGGAAAGCGATGTGCGGGATCATCAGAGGAAGAAGTCCTTGTGGTCTGCAGTGTTGTGACAGGCTTTGTAGTGGAGCCAAACACATGAAGAGTAGCCAGGAGAGACAGCTCCACCAAAGGGAAATGAACAACTCCAAATGTGGAGGAGGAAGGGAGTTGAGGACACTGGAATCAGGTTATTAGATGGCTGGGAGGGTTCTAAGCATTTATTTAGACAATATCCTGGTCTCCCTTCCTAGTTATTGTTGTGCTGTCATTCTTACTGCTGCTCCTATTACTCAGTAGATTAGCATCCCTATTCTTTGCCCATTCCTAAGAAGGAAATTCACTCTCTGACATTTCTCAGGCCTGGGAGCAGCAGCTGTACTTCTGCCCTGCAAGCCCATCCTTTTTGGAGCTATCTTGCTGGCTTAAGTCCCAGTCCCTTCCATATA